TTAACACACACACCTGTAAAAATGCAGATCTGAGTGTTAATGTGCAGAGAAAATGATGACATCATCTTGCACTCAGGGGCGGAGACAAACTACCGTCCAATCAGTTTGCAGACATTTAACTGCATGTCATTTACAATTGGATGAACATTGTTGCAATGTTGGGTCAGATATGGACAAACCCAAGAGTTGGGTCAAAAAATATCATTTAAATTCAACTGAGAAAATAACCCAATGTTTGTTTATATTTGACACATTTTTTAGATGTTTAAATGAATTACACACAAGCTTCAATTCGACATTAAAGGAAATGTTTGTTTATTGTTTATGGATTCTAAATAAAAAAAGAAAAAGAAAAATGCATTAAAATAAAATACAATATCAAATAATTAAAGATATAAAAATATAAATATAAAAATAATTAAGTATTTAAAATTAATAAATAAAATAAAAAATAAAATAGTAAAATACTCTGTATTCTAGTTCCTCTTTTTGCACCTAAATGAATAAAACTAATACAATTAATACATCTACGGACTATCATATTAATAATTAACATCAGATCATTATATTAATAAATCTGCAGTTAAAAATCTAAAATTGACAGCAAAAGCGCAGAACAAAATCACACACCTATAATTAATATTAAAATAAAAATATAAAACTAAACAACAACACAAACCAAATTATTTTTAAGATTAAAGAGATTAAAATATTTGATATTATCAGTCTTTAGTTTAATGGATGTGTGTGTTTTCATCTCTCAGCAGCTCTGGTGTGTGTGTGTGTGTGTGTGTTCTAGATTGTGAATATGCATGTTTGTCCTCATGAGGTCGTCAGGTCCTGCTGTTATAAACGCATGTGAGCAGATGAATAATGATGGATATTGAACGTTCGCTCTCGTATGTTTGCACAGATGTCCAGATCTACAGCAGATAACTGAGGTCAGATCAGGGTTCAAGACTCAGTGGTTCATTATTACAGCAGCTGCAGCTCAGCTCTACAGGAGGATTACAGATCAGACTGCTGTATTAATGATCCACACGTTACAGAGCAGCTATTATACAGAAATCACCTCTATAAGGGGGATAAACACAGTAGTGTGTCCGCAGCGTGTGAATATCTCCAGCTTCTATACGGTGAACATGAATTACTTCTGTTTGTTATGATCAGACTGTGATTGACATTCTCCCTTTGTACGGGTCATCAGAGGGGGAAAGCCCCGCCCACTAGTGCCCATCTCATTAGCATGTCCAGCAGCCCTGAGTGAGCAGCAGCCGTCTGTCCATTAGCCATTAGAGTGTTTGAGCTGCTGAAGATCATGTCAGCATAGACTAAGAGGATTATAGATGTGCAGTTGTTATTTATGATCCTCTGGATATGTTATAAAAAATAAACCAGATTTGTTTGATTTATCTTCAGCTTTGACAGTTTTTGCACTGATAAGTGAAGCATCTGCTGATCCTCTGCTGAAGAAAGAGGAAGTTAAAGCATGAAGACCTGCAAACACGCACATATCAGACTACCTTATGGCTCATCACTTTTGATAGAGGAATAATAACACAGGTGTTGCATGACGATGAAAACTATTGCACATTCTCACTTATTTTTATTATTAAAAGGCTAAAACTAAAATTATTTATGTAAACATACACACTCACTGGCCACTTTATTAGGTACACTTTACTAGTACCAGGTTGGACCCCTTTTAGCCTTCAGATCTGCTTTAATCCTTGGTGTCAGAGATTCAGCAAGCTACTGGAAATATTCCTCAGAGGTTTTGCTCCATGATAGCATCACACAGTTGCTGCAGATTTGTCAGCTGCACACCCATGATGCCAATTTCCCGTTCCACCACATCCCAAAGCTGCTCTATTGGATTGAGCTCTGGTGACTGTGGAGGCCATTTGAGTACAGTGAACTCATCGTCATGTTTAAGAAACCAGTCTGAGATGATCGCCCTAATCATGTCTAAATGCGTTGCCATGTGATCGCCTGATTAGAAATTTGTGTTAACGAGCAGTTGGACAGGTGTACCTAATAAAGTGGCCGGTGAGAGTGTATATATAAACTTTATATTCTGACGCAGTTTTTCTGTTCAGTGTGTGTATCTTGTTCACAGTGTTGTGTGTTTGTGTTCTCAAGGTTCCTACACCGGAGATTCGTGCCCACAGTGTGTTCTTCGACCTGTCTGCGTACGGTATCGACACACTGAAGGAGTCTCGGCGCTCGTCTCAGGCCGCCGCCGCCAAACCCGGATTCCACTTGAAGATCTACGGCACCTTCCGGAACCGGTACATGGCGCTCGTCTGCGGCTCTGATGCTGACAGCAAGATGATGCAGTTCCTGCGGCACACGGCCAACGCCTCGGTGAGCATTTCTAATAGCTGATTTATTTTCTCTTCGCCATGATGACAGCACACAATATTAGACTAGATATTCTTCAAGACACTAGTGTTCAGCTTACAGTCACATGTAAAGGCTTCACTAGGGTAATTAGGGTAAAGTCATTGTATAACAAAACAATCCAAAACTAATATTGCTGAAGGGGCGAATAATATTGACCTTAAAATGGCTTCAACACAATTAAACTGCTTTTATTCCAGCCCAAATAAAACAAATCAGACTTTCTCCAGAAGAACAAACATTAGAGGAAACACTGAGAACAACTCCTGAATCTGTTCAACATCATTTGGGGAATATTTGAAGAAGAAATTCACTAATAATTCTGACACAGCTGGATTATTTGTAGCTCGGCTTTACTCTTGAATCTAATGAGCTTTTTCTGTTTGCTCAGATCATGAAGAACATCTTCCACCAGTCCTTCAACGCCTATAAGACAGACCTGGAGCCGCGTCTGAGCGAGCTGACGCTGCACAACATGCAGTGCAGCCGGAGGCTGTTCGAGATCCTGCTGTCGTACCGCCGGGTGAACGCCGCCTTCATCGAGGGGGACCGCATCGCCGTCACAGTGGAGGGGGAAGCGGCGCGAGTGCTCAACTTCGACACCGGTCAGCAGATATGCAGTGCTTTCATATTAAAGAGATCCTGTTTAACCCATTCAGATGAGTCTCTGCTGTCTCCAGAATGCATCTGTGCAGTTTCAGCTCAAAATACTCATATTGCGCTCAAAGCACAGTGTAGCTGCTTTTGTAGCCTGTCCCTTTAAATGCAAATGAGCTGGTTTTGTCCCCGCCCACCATTCTCACATGCTGTGTGTGTTTGTGTCAGGCTGTGGTGTGAATCTGGGCATGCGCGGTCTGGAGTCTCTGGGAATGTTCATCTACCGGACGGCCACGGCTCTGGACCAGAACGAAGTTTTCGAGGCGCTTTCGGCCAAGATGCAGCACTCACGGCACGTGGCGGAGACCTTCCGGAGGAGCGGCCTGACCTCCGCCATGTTTGAGTGAGAGGAAATCCCCTCCAGAACAGCGGAAATACTGAACACCAGAGCATTTTACTTGTGAAAACAGTGTTTAGCTATTATTAGTGTGATGTGATGATGCTGTTTCAGGCCTGTAGTCAAGGGGAGGACGGTTTAAATGATCCAGATTTTGTCTAGATTTTTTTTATCCCATTAATGACATCCAGTTTTTGATTGCTTCGTCATCACAAATTGTGAATATAATACTTTGATGAAGGCTTTAAGACTTCCACTGTCATCTGCTGCTCCAGAATTTATGGAAGCCCATTTCAAGAGCTCTCCCTCAGCTGTTGACTGATTATAAAGCATGTTCGGCCCTGAGCTCATCAGATCCTCGAGCCCGGGGCTCCTTCCCGTTTGCAGGGCGAGAGGGGAGTTTAAGCTTAGGTAGATGTGTGGAACTCTCCTGCTGTAGTAGCTGATGAACAGACAGTGATCGCTCTTCAGAGAGAACTACTGATAGGAGCATGACTATGGTGCCGGATTAGTCAATTAACTTAAGCTGCATGTTTTTGGACGGTGGGGGGAAACCGGGAAACCTGGGGGAACCCCATGCGAGCAAGGGGAGAACGTGTAAACTCAGAAACGTCAGCTGGCTTGGTATGGACTAGAACCAGTGAGGTTCTTGCGGTGAGGCAACAGTGCTAACCACTGGGCCACCCATCTAGTAAAGGAGGAGGAGTAGGGGAGGAAGTGGGGATTCTTCAAGATGAAGATGGCTGTGATATGCAGATCAGGTTGTTTATAGGGGCTTAGGAATCGTCTGATTGGTGGATTATACATTGGATAATGCAGCACCGGCTGTGATCAATCATAAGCACCCGATCCTCTCGACATTACTTCATAAATAACCTTCACCTATGGCACCTAAATATTAAATAAGGTTATTGTGAATTTTTAATCTCAGACTTTCTAAATTATGACTTTTATCATCAGAATTGAGATGTCAACTCAATATTTTTTTACAGAATTGTATTTCCAAGAAAAAAAGTCACAATTGTGAGACAAAAATAGCAATTTAAAGAGCAGTTTCCTCTTACTTAGACTGACTTGAGTGATAAAGACGCGTCAGCAGACTGATTTTATTAGCGTATAAATATAGAAAAGATTGTATTGAATACATTTGTGAAGTCTTTTCTCAGAATCTCACATTTATAGCACACATTTCTGACTTTATCACTCACAGTTTTGAGTTGACATCTCAATTCTGAGGATTCAGTCATAACTCATATTAAATAAGTAGTTGGAGCAAACAGCAAAAGTAATATTTAGAGTGTTTATATCTCACAATTGTGCCTTTTGCTTCTTAATGATGACAATGTTGTCCCTATATTGACTTTATAACCTGCAGTTTTGAGTTTATATCTTACAATTCTGAAATGAAAAGTGACAATTACCTCTTTTTTATTATTCAGTGGCAGAAACGGGCTCCTGTGGGCTCCACAGCAAGCAGAACTCAAGCTATTCACTTCAGTGATATCAGATTAGGAGAATGCAAACTGTTCTTCATGAGCGTGCAGTCCTGAAAGACAACATGCATCTCCAGAGACTCCATCAGTAGCTAATAGTAGAGAACAACATTTACAAACAAACTTTAGTGCATTTAATCATGCAGATGGCCACCTGCTGAGTTCTGAGTAAAGTCTAATGTGCAGGACAGTTCGCGATTTGCATAATAAATGACAGTACAAGGCTTAATTTTAGAGAAGTCCTGAAATGCTTGTGTTTTCTCTTCTATTAAATATGTTACGTGCCGTACACAAGCACTTCTCCTGTGATAGTAAAACTGCACATTTAAAATGCTGATTTGATCAAATGATAAAGCAGCTGTACAGTTTCACTACATATTAATAAGCAAAAGCAAATCTGACATTATAGTCCATATTTAGGTGCATCAAAACTGCACATCATCATGCAAACAGCCACAGATGAGCGCATGAACCCTCAGCAGTATTTAAACCTCACAATGAGAAGTGTTTGGGAAGGATCCCCTTCACTATGGGCCGGAGTGTGTGTGTTTGTGTGTTTTAACTGAAGTGATCAATCTAGAAACAGACAGTGACCTTACAGGAGTCTGAACCCTTTATAACTGCGCTGTGTGAGATGACCAAATCTCAGATGAGGAGGCTGAAATCTGAATTTGTTCATCATTGATGAGTTCATTAAACACTCCTGATGTCAGTCATCATCAACACACATCAGTCAGGAACCGACGCACTATGATAAAGACTACACACACTAAGAAATAAGGGTGCATCACTGGGGCAGTGCCTTTTCAAAAAGTACACAATTGTACATTATAGCTATAAATATGTTCTTTTATGGTACAAAAGTGGACCTAAAAGGTATAAAAGGGTATATTTTGAAAAGGTATCAGCCCAGTGACAGCTTTTGTACCTTTATTTCTGAGAGTGTACTACTGCATAGACTTTAGCACTAGTTAGTGTGATTTTCTTAAGCTAAATCACTTGAATGGACAAAATAAATTAATAAATAAACATATCAACAATCACACTAGAACAGGGGTCACCAAACTTGTTCCTGGAGGGCCGGTGTCCTGCAGATTTTAGCTCCAACCCTAATCAAACACACCTGAACAAGATAATCAAGCTCTTACTGGGTATACTAGAAACAGCAGGCAGGTGTGTTGCGGCAGGCTGGAGCTAAACCCTGCAGGGCACCGGACCTCCAGGACTGAGATTGGTGACCCCTGCACTGAACGAACAAACGGTCAAATCAGCTGAAATGAAGTGCCTGATGGAAACACAATATGAATGCATAAATATATCTATATATATTCTATAAGAACACGTACAGAAATGATGATGTCTATTTATTTTGTGATATTTGTGTTCATCGTTTGCCTTATGATTCTTACTACTTGAATGTTTGGTGATTTGAGCTTGGTGTTGTTAATGGAACAGATCTGTAAATGCAGCAGTATTCATAATAAACGCGTGTGTTTTTCTGTTTTGGACATGCACGTTTTACTTAACGTGTCCTGAAATGTAAGGACACGAGGACCCCTGGTGGACTGCGGAGGAATGACTCATGCACACTGATGACAAGCTTCATATTGAAACGTAAAACAAAAATCTAAAACTGAAATAAAAACAATTAAGTCAAAATATTTCGTCATCCGAGAATGTGTGCTGTAATTTTAGTGTTATTTAAATTCAACTAAACTGTTGTTGAACGCTTGATTCTGATTGGCTGATGGTCACTCTCATGCACAGCTAAAGTAGTTCCGACAGGTTTAGAGTGCATTATAACTTCATATCACTCCGCTGAAGGAGTTATTCCACAGCTACAACAGTCAGAATCACATCCGATGTGGAGGACACTAGTGGATTATTCTATACATTTAAAACGTATATAAGACACATACATCACTTGACTCAAATCATTTCAAATGCATAATTGTATCAGAATCATTTAGTTGTCTTTAAATTAATAAAAAGTGATTTGTTGTGAATACAGCATTGCATCGCTCCACTAATGCCCTCATGTGGCCAGAATTACACATTGCACCTTTTACAATTCTACATTAATATATAGTGAAATTAAGTCTTCTGTAATGCTATTGAAACAGAAAATGTATTAGATTTTATGCCAGGGACAATGCATGTTAATAATACAGAAATATATGGAACTACCAAAAAAGGTTATTGTGCATCTGCATTAAAAAATATGACCAAAATTACACAGTGTGCCTCTAACGATCCCCTGAAGCACTTTTAAATGCACATTTTAATTTGATAATTCACATCATTTCAACTGATACATTAAAACAGGGCTGTGCATAGAGTAGCTCCTCCCCTTTTCAAAAGAAAAGCCAATAGTGACTTGTTACATCACATCTCTGCCTTTGTTTGTTGTGAACACACTCCCTCTGATGGAGAAAATGACATACTGCGCCTTTAATCACGATGTAATGAAGTTTAAGTCCTTTATTGTTATTGAGCAATATCTCAAACCAGGAAAAACCCATTTAATGGTGATTTAATTTTTTAGGTTAATTTGGGAAGGAAATGCACATTAACAAAACAGAAAAGTATAATGTGCAAAAATTAGCAACACTGCCAAATTATAGCACCTGCATATAAAATATAACCAAAATTACATAAAGACAGGGCGGGGCATAAAGTAGCTCCTCCCCTTTTCAAAACAGCCAATGGTGTTTTGTTCAAATCACAGCTGTGTTTGCTGGTTGTGAAAACGCTCCCTCTAGTGGAGAACATTGCACACTGTCCCTTTAAACTCTATAAAAACATACTATTTTACTGGATTGAAGTATGTAATGCTGCTGAAATAGTGACTCCAATCAGAGGAGACCAAAGAGATGCTCAGTGCAAATCATATAAAATATGACACACACTGTATTTACACCAAAACACACTAGCCTTAAAGGGGACCTATTATGTTCCCTTTTACAAGATGTAAATGCGTCTCGGCTGTGTTTGAGCTGAGAATAGCACACAAATAATGTCCTCTAGCTCTCTAAAACTGATCCTTTCAGCATTTGATCCTAATTGTGGTGTTTTGGTGACTGTTGCTTTAAATGCAAATGAGATTCAGAAGAGGGCGGAGCTCCTCTGTGCATCAGCTCCTCTGTGCTACAGAAGCCTGTGCATCAGCATAGTGACAGATGTAAAACAGCAGTGTGTGTGTTGTCAGTGCTGGTCAGGTGTGCTTCAGTGTGAGTGTGTGCTTCATGCTTTTGTCAGTCAGGGCTGCTGTTTATGCTAATGAGATGGAGATGATGGGCACTAGTGGGCGGGGCTTTCCCCCTTTGATGACATGAGAATGTCAATCACAGTGCTTCATTATCAAGTGTGTTTATAAAAGTATAATTAATTAATGGATATATTCACACTCTGCTGTGTTTACATGAGCTTGTTCAACAGCACATGCTCATAACTTGCTCAGCCTGCGCTGCAGTGCGCTCCTGAATGTAGACACTGGATCCTCCAGATCGAAGCCCGTCTGGAACTCCGGCGTTTTCTGCAAACCGATCGCCGCCACCGTGATGGCCAGAGCCGCGGTCAGACCCCAGATCTGATGCACGCGACCGCTAGCCGGATCCGTGTACATGAAGCTGTGTGTGGGACCGAACACGCTGGGCACGGGGTATCCCGAATGATGGTCCGCTCGCGTGAAGAAGTCCAGCGGCAGCGTGAACACCTCACTGACCTCCTGTGGGTTGATGCTGGGCCTGAAGGAGCTCTGGATGAAGGCCACCACCGGCGTGATCAGCAGACCCGCCTCACACACACACACACACACACACACACACACACGTTTATTTTAACCTAAAGTTTGACTCAGCTTTTATTAGGAGTGTATGCATGCAGGTAACATGTAGTTGAATAATTATGATGCATATTAGTCAGATAGGAACAGAATCAGGGGCGGATCTAGGGGTGTGGCCAAAGGGGCACCGGCCCCCGTTTAAATCGGCCCCTGCAGAGCCCGTCTCCTCTCCTCATTGCTGATTTATATCAGAGCTCAAACATAAAGATGTGCATAATTCATGTTGAACGCCGGATGTTTTCTGCGACTTCAGCTATTTTTACAGTTATTCACACACACGCACACACACACACACACACACACCTTGTTGATGACAGGGAAGAGTGTAGCGATGACCTGCGCTGCGTCCGCTGGAAGGCCGATCTCCTCTTCCGCCTCTCGCAGCGCTGTGTGAACATCATCTCTGTCTGAAGACTCACACTTTCCTCCTGGAAAACACACTTCACCAGCGTGATGACTGAGCTGAGGACGAACACACACACGCACACACACACACGCGCACGCGCACACAGTTAACAAATAACAAACAGTATCTCAGATCAGCTCTCCAACCGTTCATTAAACTACAGTTAACAGTCACACACACTCACACACACGCACACACACACACACACACGCACACACACACACACACACATCATTTGCTCTATTTTGTTTTTCTCAGAAGTGATACGACGTGTGAAATTGATAAGAAATTTTCATTTTTGGACTTTGCTAATCATTTATAAACCTTAAAAATATAAACGTTGTTAATAAATGTTTGATATTGGCCTCAGAATAATGTGTTAAATGGCTTTTTGTCAGATATATGTGACTTTTAAACACATTTGATAGTCAGCATCAAGCACATCAGCATCTGAAAGTCAATGATTGGTGAAGACAGACAGATATTAATGAGCATTTAAAGATTTCTGCTGGAAATAAGTAAACCTGGACTGCTTTCGAGCATAATTATAACATTAAATATATGTACAGCTATAGCAGAACTGTACTGATGATTCTCAGCTTCTCTGGATTTATGATTTAGAGCGTTTTTAATAAATAATAATCATGTTCTTACAGTATATAATAACACAGAGGTGCCATCATGCTCATATGTGCTCATATCTGAGCAGTGAGACGGTGTGGGATGCTCTCTATATTGCTCATCAAGTTGTTTTGAATATTTGGGTCTGGAATGGATGTAAATATGATGAGAAACATCATTAGCTCTATTTAAATGACTGTGAACAATACTCTGATAGTCATTGGCTGCTAATTTGACTTCATTATTTTAGAAATATGCGAAGAACAGTGTTGTGAAATGAATTATTAAGGAGAAAGTCCATATGAGCGAATATGAAACCAACTTTAGCCCAATTTACCCTGACAAGATCAATAACTGTCACAAAGGTCAATATTTAGCACATTAATGCGCCGCTGATCAATTATATGATGTTTTCAGAGGATAAATATGAAGTTATGACTGTGTATGAAGCAATGTTTATATATATTTACAGTTTATTAAAGTGTTATTATAAGTTTTCCTCACGTGTATGGAGCGCACGGTGAGCAGGAGCCGCAGCTCTCCGTCCTGCAGCAGCAGGGGGATCAGCACCGACGCCTTCGGCAGAGACTTCGGTATCGGTAACCGGGAGAGCTCCACTTTACCGGAGAGACTCCTGAGAGCCGCGGTGACCCGCTCCTTCAGCTCCATCTCTGCAGACTTTGACCCCCACCGAGTCACCGAAGCCGCTTCCGCCTCTCTGATGCGAGAGAAACGCCCCTCTACTTTTGCCACGCCCACCAATCATCACTCTCCTGTTTTGAAAGGAGGAGCAAAACAGTTGACGGATAAAGAAGGCGGGGTTAACGTCACGGACTTCTCTCGTATTGGTTAAAAAAGACACGTGTCGTTTACTAGCTCTGATTCCACAAGTGCACAAGTCCCACAAGAGTACACACCAAAATAATAATTAATAAACACAAGACAGATATATTTACACTAATAATACCAATACTGTCAAAGACACAGAACTGCTGAACCTTGTCTAAAATAAACACGATAATGGGAAAAAATAGAAACTAAATAATAGAATAATAGAAGTTAAATGATAAGTGCAATGATACTGCAGTTTCTCCTTAGTTTTTCCATATACACCGACAATTCCCAAAACCCCAACATACAAATGGAGGAAGAAACCCGTGAAAACAATAAATAAATAAATAAATAAATAAATAAATGAGTAAATAAATTCATAAACTCAAGCATAAATAAAATAATACATAAAATAATAAGCAATTAAATAAATAAATGTATGTAAAAATCCACAAATTCATGCATAAATAAAATAATAATTAAATATGCAAATCAATAAAATATATATAAAAATCCACAAATTAATGCAAAAATAAAAGTATAAATAAATATGTAAATAAATAAATAGTTTTATATAAAAATCCACAAATTAATGCATATAATAAAATAATAATTAAATATGCAAATTAATAAAAATATATGTAAAAATTCACAAATTCATACATAAATAAAATAATAAATAATTATGCAAATGAATAAATAATTGTATGCAAACATCCACAAATTTATGCAAGAGTAAAATAATAATAAATAAACATGCCAATAAATCAATAAAAAATATTTAAAAATTCACTAATTCATGCATAAATAAAATAATAATCAGATATGCAAATAAAAAAATATATGAAAAATTCACAAATTCACACATAACTAAATTAATAAATAAATATGCAAATAAATAAACAATTGTATATAAAAATCCACAAACTAATGCATAAATAAAATAATAAATTAATATGCGAATAAATAAATAACTATATGCAAAAATCCACAAGTTTATGCATAAGTAAAATATTAATAGATACACATGCTGAATAATATATATATATAAATCCACAAATTCTTGCATGAATAAATATATAAATGATTAATAATAATAATAGTAATAATAATGATAATAGTAAGAATTATATATTTAAATTATTTTGATTATTTAAATTATTTAAATATTTCTTTATGCAGGAACTTGTGGATATATATAGGAGTATGTGTGTGTGTGTGTGTGTGTGTGTGTATCAGGTGTGTGTTGTCCTTGAGGAGCAGCTGTGGTTTTTCCCAGTGCTGTAGATTCTCTGCTGAGTGTCCAGACGGACAGAGAGAAGCTCACACTGCGGATCAGAGATGTGTAAGAGTGTGTTTTCCATGTGTTGTGTGGTGTTTGTGTGTGTGTGTGTGTCTGCAGCTCCTCAGTTGTCGGATCAGGAGCTGTTGTGGGGGTCTGATCAGTATGATTTCTCCATCATGCTGCGCGCCGCTGACCTGCAGTGCTTCTGGCACTTCGCTCACTATGGAGAACACTTCTACCTCAACTTCATGGTGAGACACCAGTGTATGTGTGTGTGTGTGTATGTGTGTGTGACTGAATATGTGTGTGTCTCTTTCTACATCTTTGTGCGTCTGTGCTTGGGTGTATGTGTGCGGTCCTGTGTGTGTATGCTTGTGTTTATATGTGTGTGTCTATGCTCGTGTTTGTGTGTATTTGTGTACACCTATATGTGTGCATGTGTGTGTGTACATCTGTTTGTGTGTGTGTGACTATGAATATGTGTGTGTGTGTGTGTGTTTATATGTGTGTCTGTGTGTGTCTATATGTGTGTGTATCTATGACTTTGTGTCTGTAATTGTGACTATGAATATGTGTGTGTTTGTGTGCGACAATATGTCTGTGTGTCTGTGCCTGTGTGTATG